TGTCCAGAGCTGGCCAGGGCTCCCCAGTGCCTCCAGGTCCCCGGCTTCTGTGACCCCTTTATGGGCTGAGGTTGCTCCCCAAAGACCCCTCCTCTCTCCCAAAGGGCTCCTCTCCCCGCTCCTCACTTCAGAATCTGGCTACCCCCCCTGTCCCCTCAGCTGTACCTGGTGAAGCAGGAGCTGCAGCGAGCCCAGGCGGCCTCCTCCCGAGAGCAGGAATCTCTAGAGCGCTCCCTGGAGATGGCCGGCAGCCTGGACTCCGAGGACGAAGAGCTGAGCCGCCTTAAGGAGGAGAACCAGAAGCTTCGCTCGCTGACCTTCAGCATGGTGGGTCCTGCGGGCAGCGTCCTCCCCTCCGCCCCTCCGCCCCCAAACCGCAAGAGCCCCACTGGCTGCCGTCCATGCTGACCCTGGGCGGTCCTATGTGCTGACTTCGCAGACTTTTCTCCTGGAGGTGCCTGTGGTGGATTTGAGACTTTTGGTCCAGAATCCAGCACTATGTGTCCGGCCTTAGTCTCAGGGGCTGGGCAGGAGCATCTCCTGGGTAGCAGCCTGCCTGGCTGACCCTGCGGGCCTGTCTTTGTCTCAGGTGGAGAAGGATATTCTGGAGCAGAGCCTGGACGAGGCCCGGGAGAGCAAGCAGGAGCTGGTGGACCGGATCCACTCGCTACGGGCTCGCGCTGTGGCCGCTGAGAGGCAGCGCAAACAGGTGAGGGCCTGACCTGCCTTCCTCCTGTCCCTCCCTCCATCCTGTCTCTCCCTCCCTCCTGTCCCTCCTTCCATCCTGTCTCTCCCTTCCTCCTGTCTCTCCCTCCCTCCTGTCTCTCCCTCCCTTCCTGTCCCTCCATCCCTCCTGTCTCTGCCACTCTCTGGACCTCTGCCTCCCTCCTGCCTCTGCCACTCCCCAGAGAGGAGTGCTGTTCTGTGGGGTACGGGGTCCAGCTCTGCTTAGCTGCTCCCAGAACTCTAGTGCACGCTAGCTCACAGTCCCTGGCCTCCAGGTCACGGTGGATTCGAGGGGTGGTGGAGAGTCCTTGGTCAGGAACTCCGAGTGAGCCCCTGTTGGGGTCCCCAGGGGGAGAGGCAGGGCTTAGTGCATTCAGAAGGCTGGAGGATTGAGTCGGTGTGGAGAGGACCCCGCTCAAATGACCCTACATGGCCGAGGAAGGCAAAGGGCTGCCCTGGGCTCTCCAGGCCGGACCTGCTGGGCCTGCTCCCCAGGTGCCTGGGCACACCGGGACGGACCTTGCAGTGCGGCAGACAGCAGTTTACTAGCAGTCGGGGCTGGATGGAAACATTGTTTCCAGCCTCATTGGCGGTGGTTACACAATGTAACCTCTGGGGCTGGCCTTATCCCAGGGACTGGGAACCTGTCATCTCCTGCCCCGGTCTTTGCCGCATCATTCTGGGGCGTACAGATGGGGGAGGCCGTGAGTAGAGTGACCCACAGGGGCAGTCCTGCCCTGTCCTAGAGCTGGGGGGTGGTGATGATGAACGTGAGGGTGGGCGAGAGGGAGGCAGGTCAGGGGAGGGCGTGTGTCAAAGCCACACGTACAAGCAGCGCCAGCCGTAGCAACTCGGAGCCCGATGGGCGAGAGAGGACAGTGAGGGCAGCCCTGGCCCTGGCCACGCTGACCCTCCCAGCCCTGGCGGCCGGTCTCTCTGAGCAGTACTGGGAGGAGAAGGAGAAGACGCTGCTTCAGTTCCAGAAAACCCAGGTGGACTGCGAGATGTACCGGGAGAAGACCAGCGCCCTGCAGGACCAGGTGGTGGAGCTGCAGAAGGAGCGAGACCAGGTACCCCACCTGCTCTCCCTCCTGTCCCCCCACAGGGAGACCAGGTGCCCCACCTATCCCCACCACCTGAGAGACCAGGTACCCCACCTGCTCCCCCTCCTGCCTCCCCTGGGGGACCAGGTACCTCATCTATCTCCACCACCTGAGAGATCAAGTACCCCACCTGTCCCCCCAAGAGACCAGGTACCACCCCTGCCTCACTCTCCTACACCCCCCCCCAGGGAGATCAGGTACCCGACCTGTCCCTCCCACCCCCAGAGACCAGGTACTCCACCTGTCCCCCCACCAAGAAACCAGGTACCCTACTTATCCCCTCCCCACGGAGGGACCAGGTACCCCACCGGCCCTCCCCCCCTCCAAGAGACCAGGCTCCTACCTGTTCCCTGCCCTCCCAGGAGCTGCCCCTCAGGGGCCGCCTCTCGGAGGTGAGTGAAGAGTGAGCCCCGCACCTCTGGCCCCCAGGCCTACGCAGCCCGGGACCGCGCCCAGCTGGAGATCTCCCAGCGGCTGGTGGAGAAGGACTCGCTGCGCAGGAAGCTGTTCGAGCTGACCGAGGACACCTGCGAGCTGCGCAGACAGCTCCGGAAGCTGCAGGACAGCCCACCGCGAGAGGGGCGCG